TACCTTCAAACATGACTGTGGAGGTGGTGTGAACATGTAACTCAGTGGGTCTGGGGAGGCACGAGTTTCGTTTAAGAAAGGACCCTGAACGTCCTGCCGTCGAGGGGTGACACCATTAGCCGTGCTGAGCCCGGGGAGTGGAGGGGGCGCCACTTGTTCCTCCAGAGCACCGTGAAGAATCTGGACACGAAAAGGATGCACGCCACGACCAACAGCACAACTGCAGAGAGAAAACAAGCAGGGCAGCTAGTGGTTAGGTCGGCCAAGGCTGGACATTAAATTAACTGAACTCCTCTCTGCCTCTGTTCACTGAATAAACTGATGATTCTTATGACACAAGTTTATTATATTTGTGTTTCAGGGGTGACAAAAACAGATTCACTATTTTATAAAGTTTACACATTTCTAGTAGTTCATAAGCAGCATTTCAGTGGAGAAAGCAGCTTTTCCATGCATGAAACACCCGTATAATATTCAAATGGAACAGAAACCCCAAACCAAACCAAACAAAAAATACTGGCTCATTAATAATCATTATTGATAAATAAGTATTGCTGAACTCACCCATAAAGATGGCGTTTGGAGTGGGATCAGCTGGGTTGAAGTGCTTGTAGACGTTTCCGACCAGAGCCACGATCACCACCGGGTAGATTGTGAGGATGTTGCGCACCCAGCGGTCCAGCACCCAGTTCTCCAGAATGAACCTGCCATCATCAAACAGTGTTTCTGTTTACTGTTGAAACAAACTGTTTGGAGATTCTCTCACAGACTTTTATTCAGTTATGTGTGTCGTTCTTACACCATCAGTGTTTTGGGGTTTTTAGAGTCACAAAAGATGGAGGGAGATCACATAATTTAAGTGGCTTCTTAAGGGTGAATTTTAGGGCAAAGCAAACCTTTGCTTTCGTTTATATAAAAAAAAAAAAAATCAGATTTAACTGGTGAATCTATATTTGACTTTCTTCTGTCTCCCTGATCATAGAAATTATCTTCAAGGTAATTTCTTGTTAGCTCCCACATCCCTGTGCCTGAACCTCATCCAATCAGAGCTTACCATGCCACCACCTCTGCAAACAGGATGCACAGTGACGCAGTTGCTGCCGTGCTCTTATCCACACCCCACAGGTGGAGAACTACAGAGAAATTGATCAGAGAGGCGATAGAAGTCCATGTAGCGTAGACAGCCAAACCATTTTGGACCTGAAAAAAAGAAAATGAGACAAACAGTTTCTTACTATTGCCTTTTGGGGACAGAGCTGACACTCATCTAACAAGTATTTGCCCCCTTGCTAATTTCTTTTTTTTAAAAACATATTTGCTATGGGTATTTTAATATAAACATTTGTCTGATGATCTGAAACACTAAAGTGTGACGAATATGCAAAAATCAAAGAAATTTTCACACTGACTGTGTCCTACCAGTACTCTGAGAAAGGTCAGGTCTTTGCGATGGTATGTCTGTAACCAGAGTCCATAGTAATCTGTGGCAAAGCAACAGAAGAACAGAGCGCTGTAGCCGGAAACCGCTATCAGGATTAAAACGACCAAAGACGCCAGCATCATCCTGGAAGACAGAGAAACAGAAAGAAACAATGAATGCAATAAATAGGGGGCAGAAACAGCTCTGTAGGTAGAGCGGTGACCCCATGATCAGAAGGTTGGGAGTTCAAGTCCACTGAACGGCTACCCTGAGCAAGGTGCTGTCCCTACACACTGCTCCCCAGGCACTGGATTGGTGTCTGCCCACTGCTTAACTGAGTGAATGTGATTAATAAAGTACAGATTATTAAGTTACAAGGTCAGACATCAGAGAGACAGAGCTGACAAAGGGGCAACAATTCCTTTTGTTATTAACTGAATGGTGTGTCGCATTGTAGTAACTGAACATAATTTACCACAGTGACTTTCAGGCAAACTGAGCTTTCAGTACATAATTGCATGTTCATTATTTGCATATTCATATTATTTATACTACATTTTGGTCATTCTTATTTCATGCACTACTCATTATTCACAAACTAACATAAATGCTTCCATTCACAAAGATCTCAAAGGATATTTATTTGCCTTTCTGCAGATATGCATAGTCATAGGGCTGCTCGATTATGGCAAAAATGATAATCACGATTATTTTCACTGAAATTGAGATCTCGATTATTTGACGATATTTATTTAACCCTTTAAGACCTACTATAGAACCAAGTCCGCCAGAGCTTATATTATTTTTTTACATGTTGTAGTGCCATTTGTGGGAGCATTTCAAGTTGCTATGCAACTGTTATAGCCCATATTTTAATAATATGTATGCATTAAGTCCATAGTAACTACATTAATTGCAAAAAAGTGCAATAAACTACAAAAAAATTGAAAATCGTTTTTTTTTTTTTTACATATATTTCTACTTGGAGAAATTTAAGAGGTTTATCCCTCAAAACTTTAAATACAAAAAAGTTGCAAAAAATAGTTTACAACAACAGGAAATTTATTTTGAGTGTCTTCATAGTTTTATTTTGGAGATACACCAATTTTTATATACTGCAGGAAAAACGAAAAAACAATCCTATGATGCAAATTTGCAAAGAAAACAGCAGGTGCATCAAAATAAACTATTTCCAGCAGTGCAATTTGAGTTCTAAGCATCCCAGAAACTATTCAGAAAAGTCAAACATGACCAGTATAGGTTTTAAGGCCTACAAGTAAAAAACTACATTTCCGCGAAAATGACGTCACTTCCGGTTTCGGGCAGGAAATGGCGGACATGCGAAGTTCGCGCTGACGTCTGTTTCACTGTGGGAAGTGTTACGAACAGCTGATCGGATCGGCAAAGCGTGTTTCTGGAATATTATGTTTTTGTTCTGCAAGCGCTTTTTATGCAATTTTTGCAAAGCTTATGTGGAAGGAAACCGTGACCAGGACAAGCTGATGGCATAAGATGTAAGTACAACTCCTCGGTTTCATATGCAAAAAAAATTATTGCGCTAGCTTATCAGGTTCTACAGGGATTTAAAAATAGTTACCAAAACGGAGGTGCCGCTCCGACCGGCTTTAAAGGGTTAACAATGACTTTAAAAAATTATAAATAATGTTCAACACCACTGAAGTTTTTTTTACCTCTCTTTTCAACCAACGCAGTCACTCTCCTCTCCAAATAACTTCTGCTTAGCTTTCCGAGCTTCCCTCGGGTCCTCTTAATCAGCGGTCTCCAACCTTTTTTGCGCCACGGACGGTTTATGCCCGACAATATTTTCACGGACCGGCCTTTAAGGTGTCGCGGATAAATGAGGGAGGGGCTAATAATCGGCTCAGTCATTTTTAATGATCGTTGAAAGCCCAGATCGTAATCGTGATTAAAATTCGATTAATTGAGCAGCCCTACATATCACTTATATACAGTGGGGCAAAAAAGTATTTAGTCAGCCACCGATTGTGCAAGTTCCCCCACTTAAAATGATGACAGAGGTCAGTAATTTGCACCAGAGGTACACTTCAACTGTGAGAGACAGAATGTGAAAAAAAAAATCCATGAATCCACATGGTAGGATTTGTAAAGAATTTATTCGTAAATTAGGGTGGAAAATAAGTATTTGGTCACCTCAAACAAGGAAAATCTCTGGCTCTCACAGACCTGTAACGTCTTCTGTAAGAAGCTTTTCTGTCCCCCACTCGTTACCTGTATGAATGGCACCTGTTTGAACTCATCATCTGTATAAAAGACACCTGTCCACAGCCCAAACAGTCAGACTCCAAACTCCGCCATGGCCAAGACCAAAGAGCTTTCGAAGGACACCAGGAAAAGTATTGTAGACCTGCACCAGACTGGGAAGAGTGAATCTACAATAGGCAAGCAGCTTGGTGTGAAAAAATCAACTGTGGGAGCAATCATCAGAAAATGGAAGACATACAAGACCACTGATAATCTCCCTCGATCTGGGGCTCCACGCAAGATCTCATCCCGTGGGGTCAAAATGATCATGAGAACGGTGAGCAAAGATCCCAGAACCACACGGGGGGACCTGGTGAATGACCTGCAGAGAGCTGGGACCAAAGTAACAAAGGTCACCATCAGTAACACACTACAACGGCAGGGAATCAAATCCCGCAGTGCCAGACGTGTTCCGCTGCTGAAGCCAGTGCATGTCCAGGCCCGTCTGAAGTTTGCCAGAGAGCACATGGATGATACAGCAGAGGATTGGGAGAATGTCATGTGGTCAGATGAAACCAAAGTAGAACTTTTTGGTATAAACTCAACTCGTCGTGTTTGGAGGAAGAAGAATACTGAGTTGCATCCCAAGAACACCATACCTACTGTGAAGCATGGGGGTGGAAACATCATGCTATGGGGCTGTTTTTCTGCCAAGGGGACAGGACGACTGATCCGTGTTAAGGACAGAATGAATGGGGCCATGTATCGTGAGATTTTGAGCCAAAACCTCCTTCCATCAGTGAGAACTTTGAAGATGAAACGAGGCTGGGTCTTCCAACATGACAATGATCCAAAACACACCGCCCGGGCAACAAAGGAGTGGCTCCGTAAGAAGCATTTGAAAGTCCTGGAGTGGCCTAGCCAGTCTCCAGACCTCAACCCCATAGAAAATCTGTGGCGGGAGTTGAAAGTCCGTGTTGCTCGGCGACAGCCCCAAAACATCACTGCTCTCGAGAAGATCTGCATGGAGGAATGGGCCAAAATACCAGCTACTGTGTGTGCAAACCTGGTAAAGACCTATAGTAAACGTTTGACCTCTGTTATTGCCAACAAAGGTTATGTTACAAAGTATTGAGTTGTATTTTTGTTATTGACCAAATACTTATTTTCCACCCTGATTTACGAATAAATTCTTTACAAATCCTACCATGTGGATTCATGGATTTTTTTTTTCACATTCTGTCTCTCACAGTTGAAGTGTACCTCTGGTGCAAATTACTGACCTCTGTCATCATTTTAGGTGGGGGAACTTGCACAATCGGTGGCTGACTAAATACTTTTTTGCCCCACTGTAGCATACTTTGGCACAGCTATCAGTATGATTCTTTGCACATCCATAATAAATCTTTATCACTAAGTATGGTGATACTTAGTGATACAGTCTTACATACAGTCTGTACATTTCTAATGAGCCTTAAAGGCAATGCCTGTTATGGCCATTGGCCATCTTTAATCTTCATGTTTAAGGACACTTAAATCTTTTTGGATGTTTCTTCCTTTTGTTCTGTTCTCTGTCCAGATGATTCCACACTGCTTCAGTAATGTTGACATCCAGGCTCTAGGCAGGCCAATCTGTGTGTTTTTCCTGTTCAGGTATGTTTTTAATCTACTGGGAGTGTATTTCAGATTCTTTCCATGATGAAAAATCAAGTCGTTGCCAATGACATGATTTTTTTGGATGGTATTACTTGATGGATCAAAATCTGCACATTGTGAACACATTTCTACGTTCACAATTCCATCAATTTGGAAAAGATTCCCAGCAACACCGGCTTAAATGGAGCCCCAAACCATAATAGAGATTACAGGTGGCTGTACACACTCATTGTTATACCTCTCTCCTGTCCTCCTCCATACATATTGATAATGAGCTGAACCAAAAACTTGGATACAAGTTTGGATTTGGATTCACCACTCCATCAGACCAGTTCAGTCTAGTTCTTGTGAAATCTGGCATATGTCATCCTTCTCTTCCTTTCATAAGAATGGCTTCTTGGCAGCCACTTTTCCACTGAGACCATTTCTGATGAGGCTTCAGCAAACAGTGGATGAGTCAACTGAAGGGGTAGATGCATGTGTACTGTGCAAAAGGCTTTTGTCAGTACTGTATGTTTACTGCAAGTACCGCTGTGCCACATGAGAACTACGAAACGTGAGAACTATTTATTATGTTTTCTTCTCCATGGTGGCTGGAACAGCACATCATTTCATGCTGCACTGCACTGACTATTGTTTTTTTAGTATTCACAGTATAGGATGATCATCCTAAATTGTCCTGTCTGAATTTTTGTTTGGTCGCCAAGTGTTACAAAGTCCGATACAGAGGAACCACTGTTTTGGAGCCATCATCAAAGATATAACTTCAGTTCTGGCTCAAACGAGTTCCAGTTATTTGCACGACTCAGTCTGGATGAACAGCTCGTCCTACAAGTGCTCGTGCTCTGCTAGTAACACATATGGAATTTATTCCAGTCTTCACAGACACACCTGGTCTGGAACCATCATTTGTTTTTCCAAGAGCACAACGAGCCAAAACACACCTGCGAGGTCTAACCCACCAGCAGGGTGATGAGAGTGTATCAGATGAACTTGAGTGCAGAGAGACACACAAGTGAGAAAAAACAAGTGTTCAGCATATGTGAGAACTACTTCAGGAATGTTGAAAAAGCTCCAGTTTACGACCTCATGAAGCTCGTGGAACAATTTAAACCATGTGCTGCTCTTGCTAAACCTTTTTCTCTTTAACTAAACTTTAACTCCAGGGTCCATTCCTTCTTATTATGTCTCTGATACGACCACATGTATAATTTAACAGTCTTGAAGTTTTCAATTTTGTACTGTGCTGCAGAAAAATAGTAAAAACAAATTAAACTCCTAGTAAGCAGAACCCAGCCAGGGTGGAGCCAAAAGCCACAAATGGATAACTGCTGAGGTACATTAGGAAAGACATGCAGTGCTAAATCAAATATGTAGAATAAGATATTCATACTGGATGGGCTGGAGCTCTTGTAAACAGCAGAAAATGTATCAGCTGATATTAGCCATCCAACAATAAATCAGTAATGGCATATATGAGCATCTTAAAAGTAAAGGCGAGACAAGAGACACAAAAGTTCAACTACATTATGAGTGTTATGAGTTTGTTCACCACACTCTGCAACTTCCCTGTTAGGAATGCCACAAACACAACAGCTAGCTGCTCCAAGCAGACTCAGGCAGTGTGGAAATGAGTAATCTATGACTTAGTGCAGCGACAACACAAGATCACACCTGTATTGTCATCATATTAAGGTAAGGACTCATTGGGTTTTTAAAAATCACAAAATATTGATATTTGCCTAACAAAAAAATCCTAGATCAATCGGGTTATAGCAGATATACGGTGTGTGCAAGAGACAAATTGAAAGAGAAGCAAAGACAAGAGCACAGGAGACTCTGAGCGGTAACCTGCTGCACATCCTTTCCAGCTCAATCTCTGACTAGGGTGATTAAGAATAGAGATGGAAATGTACTAATGAGTGCAGTGAATGTTGTGAGAAGATGGAAAAGTACTCTGAGGAGTGCATAAATGAAGAAAATAAGAGAGAGAGAAGAGAACAGATGGAAAGTTAGTGATTCAGGAATGCATATTTAGTAGGGAGGAAGTGAAGGCAGCTATGTAGAGGGTGAAGAGTGAATAGGCAGTCAGGCACTTTGGAGACAAATATAGAGAGACAAGGACATTTATAGAAGAAGGATTATAGATATGTTGGATAAAGAATATTGAATATGGATCTAGGGACTCTGGCGACAGGGTGAGATAAGAGGTCGATGTGGTGACCCGTAAAGGGAGCAGCTAAAAGAAGCATAAGAACAGGTAGTAGTAAATAAAATGAAGACATACTCTGCGTCCCACAGCAGGAGCCATATAATGTTCAGCACCATGTTGGAGAGCCAGCAAATATGGAAGCCGTAGGGCAGCAGACACTGAGCCCAGGATCTATTAACAGAGAGAGAGAAATATCAGTTTCATCCTGTGTGTTTAGATTTAGTCCAGCTGTTTTGATGCTAGCTTACCCTCTGCATGTGTATGAAGTGATATAAATCACCATCAGGGTGAGCCAGGTATAGATAACACCCCAGATGGAGAAGGTCCAGCCAGCTGGAGTGATGCCTGTCTCATAGCGGGCTGATACATTTCCTGTAGAAGTATGAAAGGGACCTGGAAAACAGACAGAGAGAATAAACAAATGTGCACTGGTGGAGTTTGCATTCTAGTTCCAGCTGGTTTGTTTACAGGGGCAACAAAGCAGCAAACACAAAGATGGAAGAAAACTGATGTGATGTGACTAGATGTTACAGGGGGAAATGCAGAAAAACAGAACTACTTCAGCTGGATTAAAGAGAAATGTCTCAGATCAGCAGGGTTACTGCTTACTGACTGATGAACGTCTTCTACCCATCTTTACATCTGAGAAACCCAGTCATGTTACAGATTTGTTTCCAATCAAATGCTTAGTTGCAAAATGTTCCTCCAGTATTTTTTGGTACCACTTACTTTTCCAAACTTTTATTTACCCGTTCCAACTTTTTGGGACTGTTTGTTAAATTAGCAACATCTTAAATGCGAAGTAAACTAAAGAAAGTCCTCATTTTGTTTGTAGATGTTCCCTTTGAGCCTTTATAACTACTCAAACATAAAGACCTTTATTAAGTAGTAAAATCACTGATAAACAATAAGCTACAACAGAAAAAAAACTGACCCTTACTTCGTCATTTTGAAAGCATTACAGAATTCTGAGAACGGCTCTCCTACTTTTTAAAAAGTACCTCACAGGAAAAGATCTTAGGTTAACAGGGAGACAATGTTCAGGTTTATACAACTTCCTAAGTCTTAGTCTTAACTTAAAGCAGATGCAGAGCTGCTGCCACAGTGAGGCTCGAGAGCAGAACAAGGAGTACAAGAGGCCTGCTGCAGTCCAAGATGGAGGAGATTTACTTCAGGAGCAGCTGATTATTATGTTCAGTTATGCATCAGTCACAAAAAGGCTTGGCAAACACATATGCATTCAATTCATATAACAAAGCGTGTGTTCCTCCTTTTGATGCGTGCACACATAACAACCTCCTGCCATAAAAAAAATCTAAATCTGTCCTAAACACTGTGACTTCTGGGTGCTCCATTTTCCTCCCACGGTCCAAAGATGTGACTGTAAGAGGCAAGGCTGTGGGTGTCAACATGAATGTGGACGATCGTTTCTCTGTGACGGACTGGTGACCTATGCAGGATCACCTCTCGTAGGTATAAACATCAATGTGTCCTAATTATAAGGACTTCTTTTCGTTTCCATTAATGTAATGCACTTCTATTTTAGAAGGCAGGCTTAAATTTAACGTGTGCGTTTTAGACTACCTCTTTGTCTCAAGCTCACCGTTTCTCTGCTGCAGAGTAGCTCTTACACTTTTTACATGAATCACAGTGCCTGCTGCTCCTAAAAGATCTCTAAAATAATGACTTAATATCTATCATTACATAAAACAAATTGATCACAGTAAAAACTGTGATTAAAATAGAAAAAAGTGGATACACTGTTACTATTTGCCAGCTCACTGAGGAAGGAAATGAGTCTTATCCATGTGGGAGCCCAGCGGAGCATTTTCTCGGCCACACCCTGAATATATATATAAAAATAAATAAATAAATCACTGTTGGATCTTTCCCGTCCAGCAGAACCAGTGGGCGGAGGGATACCACAGTCACTATTCCTACACTTTACTTAGACTATTTATTAGGATAAAAATAATATAAACTTCGTACTAATAACTGGTTAATTTGAGCCCCCTCTCATAACTATAACAAACTCTGGGAAGTTTGTGAGCTGTTATTGTTACTCCTGCCAGTTAGCAGTACCAGCTATGTAAATGCGCAGTCCTGGAAATGACGGCTCACTGGTTTGTGTAACATGCTTTGGTGACATAACAGCTGCAGTAAACAGTTAACAAAACTTCTGAAAACACAGCTTTTGTGAAGGCAGAAAACTAAAACCAGAAATAAAACACCGAGAATGTACCACCGTGTGCAGTTTTAACAGTCTTGCAGTTATGTTTTTAATCTTTTTCGAGCTCTGTGAAACTCACTTCTTGAACAGCGATATTTCACCTACCTTTGCCCGCTCCGGCCAAAGCGTTAAAGACTAAAACGGCAACAAAAACCACCGCACACAGGATTATGACGAGAATCCGCAGAATATTGACGTCCTTCATTTTGTCTTCCTCGCTGCTTCGTGCCTCGGTGTGTCCTCTTCAACTGTCAGGGAGCAGCGGACGGAGCTAAACGGACCCGAACGTGACGCCTTCACGTGCTCACGTAAACGCCCACAGCCTTAGAGGGGAAAAGGAGAAGAAGAAATGCAAATGTGTTGTGCTCACGTTTCAACACAGGTAAACCTTGAGTTATATATTCATGTAAATGTTATCGATAAGTTAAACTAAAGTAACTGCATCGTAGTATAATATATAATTACATATATAAGAACTTGCAGTGTAATGGCGTCCTCTTCAGGCAGACCGTGAACATAATACAGCTTATTTAATGCAGTCTGTTGAGCATGTTTCACAACTTAATTGAAGTTTAAAAGTTGTTCAACAACATTTTTAGATACATAGTGTGACACATAGTGTCCGTTGAACTGGTTGAAAATAGCGAGTTTCCCCCCTCATATTTACATCCCATCATACAACAAATAACGTATATTGATTTTGTTCTGATACGCTTCAGAGGCATGGTGCAAGGTTGCGCATCTGCTCACATCATTCACAATCTGCCTAACCTGAACAGTATTTCCATCAGCACGTCGGAGGAAACAGTAACAAAACAGTGGGCTCCGCACATATTAGTAATTACATTAAACAGCGAAAACAATAAGTAAACAACTGCAAACTTCTAAATATAAATCTGTTTAAAAGAACAATTCCTGGCATTAGCATTAGTTGAGAACAGATTTGTAATATGATTTGAATATAAATTAAAAGATATAAATGAACTTAAGAGCTTTTTAAAGAATGAATAGATGGTAAATCGAGGTAATGTTTGAGTCTACCCCTCTGTCTGTCTCTAGCCCACTGTAGCTCTGCTGAACAGAGCCGCTCTTACTCACCACACTAAATGTTTGGCAGGGAGCAGTTCTAGAAAAAGCTGCAGGTTTATAATCGGTCCATTTGAGTCCCCTTTTATAACCGAGCACCACGGGAAAGTGAGTGTCTCACGCCAGTTACCAGAAGCAGCTACGTAACAAATGCGTAGTCCTGGAAATGACAGCTCATTGCTTTGTGTAACATAGCTAGGTGACATAACAGCTGCAGTACGCGGTTATAAAAGCTATGAAAATACAGTTTTTGTGAAAATGCATCTTTTAGTGATGTTCGCCACATTCCCACTGAGTTCCTGTTAAGGGCTCGAGCCCCTAGTGTCCAGTCATTCCAGTATCCATGTGTGTGGGCACCGAGTCGTGTTGTCATGAACTATCCCACTACTGCTAGCGTCGCCCTGAGGCAACAAACCACATTTCCATGCCTCACACTGGCCCTTCAAAATAAACAAACTTTTTTTTCTTCAAATAATGCTACGAGGCACATCTCTTTCCAATAAAATGATGAGTTGAAGGGGGTGACTTTATCTCCATTAGGAGGTAAGATAAAGATCACTATTTTACATGTTTATAGTGAAATAAATGTATATAAAAATACTTTGTGCATTAATACGTTAAGAAGTATATTTGATTGTTTGTTCTACTTTTTGAAAATTATTTATACAGTAAAACTGTTAATTTTCACTTGTTGCCTCAAGGCAACACTGTGTAGTTAGCCTAATTTTTTTTCAGGAAATATAATGCATTAGCATATGTGTGTAGAGATGTGTTTGTAATGTAATATATATAATATAATAATGTGTATGTGTTAGTCCCCATAGGGAAATAGTTCCTCTGCATTTAACCCATTCACCCAGTGAAGCAGTGGGCAGCCACCAATGCAGCGCCCGGGGAGCAGTGTGTAGGGACTGTACCTTGCTCAGGGGTACCTCAGGGTAGCCGTTCAGTGGAGTCGAACCCCCGACCTTCCGATCATGGGGCCACCACTCTACCTACTGAGCTATCCCTGCCCCGTGCATTTATATGGTCATAGTCAATGTTTTTTACTTTTACTTTACTTTTTTTTTTTGAGGGACACTTAGGCAGTCAGGGGTCAGTTGGTAAAGTAATTGTGTGTGTGTGACGTGTATTACTTATCGTTGTGGGGACACAAATCTGTTTACACACTCACATTGTGAGGTCTCGCTTACTTTATGGGGACAAACTGCAAGGTAAATCATTACATTTTAGGGTGAAGGCTTGAGTCAGGGTTAGGTTCAGGCAGGGACTTGTGATGGGTAGAATAAGTCTCCAGGAAATGAATGTAAGTTAATGTAATGTCCCCAAAAGTGATGGAAACACATCATGTGTGTGTGTGTGTGTGTGTGCATGGGGTTAGGGTCAAATGTTGGATGTACTTTGGTGTTTTATTGTTCTGTGAAATGTTTACATTGTTTATTTATTCATCCCTGTTGTACTAATAAAACATATTATAGAATAACTTGGTGTTTGACTACCCTTGTCACACAGTGTTGCCTTGAAGCAACAAACCAAAATAAGTAAAAAAATTACATATAAAAACACAAGGAAACATCAGAAATCAGTTTCTAGCAGATGATCAGCAACTGGTTCATTTGTGCTGTCATGTGCAGTTAGCTTCTTCAGCCAGTAGGTGTGAATCATGTCTGGCTCTGGTGCTGTCCAACTCTTCATACTTAATACGATCTGTCTGTCTGCACTGAGGACACCTGTAGGTTTCAGTCTGATCCTTTTCATCTCAGTAGCTTTTAATACAGTTCATACAGTAGTTGTGTCCACAGGGAATAATCACCGGGTCCTTCAGGAGAAACACTCAAACATATTGAACATCAGAATTTGTTCTGATCCAAACAAATAGTTAGCGCTGACATTTCACCTCTCAGAAACACGGAGTGCAAGAAACTTTACCACCGAGAGGAAAGAGCAAGTGGATTTTCAGGTTATGTCTGATACCTGTGAGAGGAATAGTTTGACTGGTGATAAAACTGAAAGCACATTTTGTTTTCCATTTTTCAGGTTGCAGCTTGTCATGCATCAGTAAACCAATACCATTTGTTCTGACTCAATAATAGTGAATAATAGTATAACCTTCCAGCAGCCATGTCTTCGTGGTGTTACTACTACTAAAAGAAATCAAGACTGACGCACGTGCCTTTGAAAAAGGATCGTGTTTTATTTACAGAGGTTCCATCAGAATTAAAATACAAATGATTTATAGACTCCGCAGGTGGAGCATTCATACAGAGCTCGAGGAGGACAGTTGGAGGCCCTGTGTGTTTGTATGTGAGCATCATGTGTGTGACAGCTTTGGCAGAGAGGCGGAAAGTCCATGGATGCATCTTCAGCCTCCTCCTCATCCTCCCCTTCGTTCTCCTGCTCAGTGACTCTCGCCTTTCTTCCCTACGACCTGCGTGGGGACAAAATATGGGTGAGTGTCAAACACTGCTCTACACAAATGAGCACAGGCTGCTGCAGCTGCTCCTCACCCTTTTGAAATCGTTCATGTTAGTGGCCTGCACCGGAGTGCCTATGAATGTCAGGTAGTTGATTTTTGTCGTCTCCTCATCTCCTTGGTTTGACTTAATGAACAACTGAAGGGGAAAAAAAACAAGAAAATGCATTTAACAATTCAACAAAAACACACAAAAAATGTTTTTCTTTAACTGTTCATTGATTCTGCCAGCGTGCAATGTGTCCATAGGGCGTCCCTTCCCAAGCTACTTCTCCAAATTCCTCCAAGAGGGAAGTCTTTTTCCTATAACTCACAATTTTGGTGACCATCCCACAAATAAACCTCTAAAAGCTTTTCCCCCCAGCTACAGGATTTACTTCTATTGTATATACTTGAGCATTTTTGCCGTTTGCATCACGGCCTCTTCTGCTGCTCATTAACAACCTTCTTAAAATACATTTCTAATGCATTAAGATCTAACCGCAGTAATGTTTCAGAGGTACTGTTGGTAGTCGGGTCCTTACTGTAACGCTCTGTACGTTCTGAAACTTGACGTAGCGCAGAGGAATCAAACCGTCTTCTTTGTAATCTTCCTCAGACAGCTCCAGACTCTGAGTGGCTTCACTCCGCTCTGCGTCGTCGAACCCCATCGACCGAGGGAGATTGATAAACACCTTCACCACCTTAGGGGCTTGGGCTGACAGAGAGTGAAAAATAAAGAAAAAATGAGACACAGAAAGAAGATGATGATTTTTTTTTACCACTCGGAAACTGACAAAGTTCATATCAGCGCCTCCAGATACTCCAGAGGCTGTGATTAATGTCAGCAGGAGAAACACTCACCAAAGTCTGAGGACAGTAGTTTCATAGAGAAGAGCTTCACAGGCTGATTGAAGGCGATCGTTATCAACAACTGGACAAGATTTAAAAAGGAAAACATCCATCAGGTTGATGCTCCACATATAACAAAATTTATTAAGGAGGTAAACAGAATGAGAGCAGACTAAGGGTTTCAGTTAGTTTTAGCTTTGTTTCAGTTTCCTGAACAAACCTGAGAGTTTCAGGGATTTGTTAAATCAATAAATATAATCAGCAAAGCCTCTCGTGCTGGTTATGTTGTCTGAAATGAAGATATTTGTTGTATATTTTTGTTTCATTTTTTAAACGCACAATATGTTTTAGCTAGTTTACATTCCTGTTTAAAAGTGTCATGAACATAAAGAGAAAAAAAATCTAAATTCAGGGTCATTAAAACCATATGCTAAAAATTTCTCTCTTGAGTATTCAGGAGACAAATATTAGAAAGAATAAGAAAAAACAATTATCAGGAACACCACTTTAAAAGTATCATGATTACCCAGATATTTCATATGAGGATAAACCCCTGAAAATGTATCGTCACATTTTAAGAGGTCCAAACAAATTAAACATGTTTTTAAGAGACAACTCATCTATTAGACATTCTCAATGTGAAACCAGCTTCTTTGAGGAAATAACATCCAGGCTGAGCGGGGTACTGATTTCGTGAGAACTTTAAACTTGTAATGTTTAAACTTCCCGCATGAAGCGAAAAATCGAACCTGTTCATCGCAGTCAGACTCCAGGTAGGACGAGTCTTTGATCAAACAGTTGTCGAAGCCGCAGTCGTCGCTCTCGTTGAGGCACTCGCAACCGGCTTTGTTCACAAAAGGCATGAGGTCCATCTGAAACACAGCAGAGGAGGCAAACTCATTTATTCAGTTCAAACTTCGTGTACGGCTCAACATTTATGAAGCTGGATTTATGTGTGTACTGCAGCAGGTTTACATACACATTTGTTTAACCTTTTCATTCATCTGTGGCAAAGCTTGCACGTGTTTTCACACAGAGTTGGGCTATTTATGGTATTTTTCTATCATTTTTTACTGAATCAGAGAGTATTACTGTCAAATCAGTGCTTACATTGGTTTAGTACAGAGTATGGCTGGATGATGTTTAGTTTTTGAAACATATGAGTGGATTATCGAGATAAGATTAGACAGTATTATTAATGGTGACATGATGTGGTGGTGATTCATCTGAACACTAACTCAAACTTTAAAGGTACATTTTAACTTATAATGTCATAAGTGGCAACAGGTGACAAAGTTCAGCCGCTGTGAAGAAAAGAAAGCTGACAAAACAATGCTTTTTATCACAGATAACAGTTTGTTGGTCTGTTTTTGTGTGGACTTCGTATTTTATAACTTTATCTTTTATTCAAACTTAACTATTAAAACACAGAAGTTACACATTAAGACAAAATAATTAACTTGTTTAGGAAGCAGTGGACGAAACAGCTCCTGTGTCAGGTGAGGTAAAACACACATTTTTGTCAATAGTCTTGTGGTTTAGCAGTGACTTCAGTTCCTTGTTGGAAAGAGCTGCCAGCTCTGAAAATAGTGAAAATGTTATGCTGTCTGCTTGGGGGCGTGACCCACTGCCATCTACCACAAATAACACACCAACACTGATGAGAACCCTCAGTAAAGCCTTAAGAGTACTAAAAAATGTAAGAATGTCTTATTGGGTTTGATGAAAATTGACATAAGAACTATTAAATATGAACTTTAATGGCATTTTATTTTAATTAAAGTTCATTTTTAAAAAACAATGCTATCCGACATGCTGCTTTTCT